GCGGAAGCATTATGGCGACGACCCCCCGTGCGGGAGAGATGAAGGAAACAGGCATGACAAAGGCAGATACATTGGCCACAGGGCCCAGCTACCGGGAAGTAGTTTTGAGGGAGGGAGGGAGCAAACCAGCAGCCGTGACTCACGCTAGTCACCTAGTCAGCAGCCAGGTGCAGGTTTCAGAAGGAATGTCTGAACAGGTCATCATCGCCGGTGACTCAAATTTGGTCCGATGCGCAGCGGCAATCAAAGAAAGGGTGAAAGGCGACAAGAGAGTTGCGATAGGGACGTTCCCAGGACAAACGCTGGGGACAGTAATGAGTCAAGCGGGTGAACAACTCGCAGCTAAGGCTGGCAATCGTAACCTCGTTGTAATTGCGGGAGGGTTAAATGACGTCCTGAAAAAAGAATCGTCAGGACTAGCGACGGCCTTGGCGAGAGGGGTGGATGACATGCGCACCGTGTCCCCCCAGGTGCAAATTGTAGTATGCACAGTACCGGAAGTACCGGTGCGCAACGTCAACCTGCGAAGAGCGGTTGTCGACGCAAACAAGGAGATATGGCGGATTAGTCGAGAGAAGGGTTTCGAGGTAGTGGATTTAAACAGGGAAGTGCACAGGTGGGGTGGATTCCAAAGAGACAGGATTCATTTCGATAAGAGGCTTGGACACGAGGTGGGCTGGCGACTGGCAGGACGCGCAGTAGCTTTTTTGGGGGGCTCACGGGCCCTTCGGAGTCCGGGGTAGCTCGTAACAGGGAAAGCAACCAGAAGGACGCTTTGACAGGTAGAATTGCGAAAAACCAGAAAAAAGGTAAAAGAAAAAGGAAAAAGGCGCGTGTTGCAATTAGTTACATAAACATGCAGGGTGGCAGAAAGAAGGCAAAATGGTTAGAGATTGAGGAGCAGTTAAACAAAGAACAGATAGGCGTGTATGCGGTTACAGAAACACACCTTAGAGACTTGGAAGAGCCACCACATATTAAAAATTATGTTTGGGAAGGGTGTAACAGGACCATATCGGAAAGGAAAGGTGGGGGTGTAGGAATGCTAATTCACCGCGGAGCCAAATGGGTTAGAGTGAAACAGACGTGTTCAGAGCACCTCTGGGTTCGGGGCACAGTAGGTGGAAAGGAAACGTGGCTAGGGGTAGCCTACTTGTGGACGGGGAATAACTGCAGAGAAAAGAATCAGGAGATAGTGGATTGCATGAGTGCGGATATTAAGGAATTTGGTAATGGGGCCGAAATCATCCTTCTAGGGGACATGAATGCCCACATACATGACCTTGACGGATATTCAGACACCAATGGGAAGTTATTACTAGATCTTTGCGAGCAACATAGTCTGGAGATAGTTAACACGGGGCCTAAATGTGACGGCCAGATCACATGGGAAGTCGGAAACAAGCAATCAAGTATTGATTATTGTCTCATGACTGAAGGAATTTACCACAAACTGACAGAAATGAGGATAGACGAGGAAGGCATTAACAGCTTGGGTAGTGATCATAAACGAATAACATTACAAATGGGATACGAAACTGAAAATATGAGCATGGAATCAAAGTCTGGCAGCTCGTATTTAAATGACAAACAAATAATAAATATAGCCGCAAGAGTCGAGGAAGAAGTAGGCGAAATACCAGGCAAGGACTGGGAGTATAGTGAGCTGTTACATCTAATGACGAAGGAGATAGGGAAAGAGAAGAAAACTGTTTGCTAGAAAGGAAAAAGGAAGCCAAAAAGTTGGTGGAACAAGGAAATCCGGGAGGCGATCGAGAAGCGACGCGAAGCCTCACGGGAGCATAGAAAGGCAAAAAAGGAGAAGCGGCCGCAGGACGAAGTCAAAAAAATATGGGAAATATATTTAGAGAAAAAATCCCTTGTACAGAAATTGGTAGAGGCAAAAATTAAAGGTGAAAGTGAACGCTGGATGACAGAGATACACGAAAAAAAGGAGGCCGCGCCTAGGATTTTTTGGAGCCACATAAAGGCGCTAGGTAGGAAGTCTGTCACAACGCAACAACATGTTCTAGATGAAGGAGGAAATCAATTGGAAGGGTACGAAGCGCTAGGTTACATCCAAAAGGTAACAGCCGATTCGTTTCAAAAGAGCGTCCAGGGGATCTCCCCGGTGAGTAAAAGTGTGGCGGAGAAAGCAACAGAGGAAGAGCTAGTACTTGATAATTTCAACTGGAAAAAGGCCGAAGGAAAAATTCCAAAGCGCACTGCCGCGGGTTTAGATGGGATTCCCGTTAGCCTCATTAACGAACTAGGACATAACACTAAAGAAGCATTGTTAAAAGCAGTAGAAAAAAGCTTAAAGGACGGACAAATACCGGACAGTTGGCGACAAAGTAGAATGAACTTAATCTATAAAGGCAAGGGAGAAAAGGACAAGATTCGCTCGTATAGACCACTAACAATTACATCGGTACTATACAGGATGGCGATGCAAGCAGTAAAAATGAAAATAGAAACATGGGCCGAACATAACGATATTTTGGGAGAACTTCAGAACGGATTTCGAGTCGACAGGCGGTTAGACGATAACCTGTTTGTTCTCACTCAGTGTATAGAAATATCCAAAATAGAGAATAGGCCCTTGTACGTGGCTTTTCTAGACATCACGGGGGCATACGACAACGTTAATCAGGAAATTTTGTGGGATATATTGAAAGGAATGGGCATGGGCGACGACTGTATACAGCTTTTGAGGGAGATATACCGAGAAAATACAGTTTGCATAGAGTGGGAAGGAATGCGTAGCAAAGAGAACGTTGAGGTTAGCAGGGGTCTGAGACAGGGATGTCCTTTGTCCCCGCTGTTATTCATGCTGTACATGGTGAGTATGGAAAAAGCGCTAGAAGGTAGCAACATTGGTTTTAATCTGTCACACAAACAGGGCGGCATGATGATTGAGCAGAAGCTTCCAGGTTTATTTTATGCGGGCGATATCGTCTTATTTGCGGACAGTCGAGATGATATACAGCAGCTGGCGAATATATGCGGAAGGGAAGGTGAAGCTCTTGGACTAGGATTCAGTGTAACGAAGTGTGGATTGATGGTATTCAATGATCCCTGTGATCAGACGGTGTCCATACAAGGCCAAGAAATACCGAGGGTAAGTGAATACAAGTACCTTGGAGTATGGGTAAATGAGAGTGATAGATACATGGAGGTACAGGAAAAAGCCTCGGCAGCAAAAGGAAAGAGGAATGCGGCAATAATGAAGCACAGAGCGTTGTGGGGATACAATAGGTATGAGGTGCTTCGAGGTCTGTGGAAGGGTGTAATGGTTCCAGGGCTTACTTTTGGGAACTCAGTGGTGTGCATGAGGGCAGAGGTGCAATCGGGAATGGATGTAAATCAAAGGACTGTGGGACGCCTCGCGTTGGGTGCTCACGGGAAGACGACAAACGAGGCTGTAAAGGGCGATATGGGGTGGGCAGGTTTTGAGGCGAGGGAAGCGCAGAGCAAAATAAGGTTCGAAGAAAGGCTAAGAAATATGAAGGAGAGTAGATGGGCAGAGAAGTTGTTCCGTTATTTGTATAGGAAGAGCGTGGACACACAGTGGAGAAAAAGAACTAGAAGACTCACTAGTAAGTATACGGCTGGTATTGTAAGCCGTATGTCAACAAAGAGCGTTAAGGGAAAAGTCAGGGAGGCGGAGAGGATTTACTGGATGGCAGCTATGGAGAAAAAACCGGCTTTGAGTAACTACCGAAAGGGCAAAAATGAAATAAGGAGGGAGGCATTTTACGATAATTCAAGGGGAAGCGCTTTACTGTTTGAAGCGAGATCGGGTTGCCTTAGAACGCGTAGTTATAAAGCAAGATTCAGTAAAGAAGAAGAACAATGCACATGCTGCGGGAAAAATAAGGAAACGGCGGAGCATGTTCTGATTGAATGTGGAGATATCCACCCAGGTGTACGTTTGGGCACGAGCCTACAGGAAGCCTTGGGTTTTAGGGACAACAATGGAAAGCTGAACACACCCGCGATTGAAATAAGTAAGAGACGGTTAGAGTATTGGTGGCAGAAAATTAGAGAGAAAGGACAAAAATAAATATTGGAAAAATAAAATATGGACAGTGTGCCGTAAATGGCAGAGAACTTAAGCTGAAAATTTACCTTTTTTTCTATTAAGATAGAATTTATCGAAGTAGAGGCATTAGGCCAACATAAAAAGAAAAAAAGTATTTTTTTTTTTTTTTTTTGTCGAGCCTGGTGGCATACTTGTCACCACCCCGTTATAAAGGGGACGCTCATAGCATCCATCCATCCAGCCATCATCATCAACACAAACAAGCGAAGCGTGTTTCGATCTCTGGGGCTTGCTGTTCTGTCGAGACGCCCAGTGGGGGACGACATGCCGCGATGAGTGCTCAACGAAAATTGGAAAAACTACTTATTAACCAATACATACGCTATGAGCTGGTACGGCTTATGCGGATACGGAATGCATTATGTTCAATGGCCGCCGAGTCGGGGATTTGACTTCACTACTTTTAAAACGAAACTACTGTTTACGCAGGTACAGTTTAACGAGGTTTCACTGTATTTGCAGAAAGCGACCGTCAGTTAGCACAGGCAGTTTCATCACCTTTGCTTGCTGTGTGCTTGTCAGCTGCGATGTCTACACTCACACCATTCGTGAGCCCTACTGTGGCACACGTAATAATATAAAGATTGAGGATGGGCTGCGCACAGATAAAGAAAAAACAAAACGCTGCATGCAGCGGGCAAAGAGGCGCCAGGTGTTAGTTTTCACACCTGCAGCGGATAAATGTAAGAGGTGTGTTTATTACACAGGAAAAAAATTCAAATTTTGACGACTGATGTTGAGGGTGTGTTTATCATGTGAGTGTAAACACTTGTTTGAAGCAGTGAACATTACCACTGAAAAAATAAGTCAGTAAAATTTTATGAATGCAGTTGATAGAAATGATTTGATCAAGGGGAGTAACTGTGGCAGAGTCGACCCTGTTCAATGCTTGCAGTTCGATGGTGATCCGTGACCTGACGCTGCGGAGTGCGGCCAGCTTCGGGTCGTTCCACCTGATCCGCCTGTTGTACGACGAGTATATGTTCTACCTGGTGGAGCACAGAGTGTCTAAGGCCACCGGGAAGACGCCCATTGCCGTCATGGGAGAGGTGGGCCATATTCCCTTCTCTTGAAAGACAAGTTTGGGTCTTTGCCGCTAAATTTGGTCAGGAAAAAGTGTACTGTTTTTGAAGGAGCCATGGTTCAGTTGACAGGGAATAGCTTTTAGAAATGTCCAGTACAGCTGTCAAGTGGTATGTCCATAGAGCACTAATATCACTAACGACACCCTCCTTTTTACTGCCTTGTCGAGTTGTTCAGGGATGCACTACGCTCACTATAATAAAGTCACATGTGACCTATAAATAACTTCGCCATATCCAAGAACAAATGTATATTGAACCACTGTACCTATTATACCAAGGTAATTCTTCATTTTATTTGCTACAGCCAGTAATGCATTTATATCAGTCTTTGTTATAAGGAGGTTTGAGTGTAGTGGTATAAGATATTGGCACAAGCTGTTATTTTTTTATTTCAATGTATTCAGGTTTAATCAGCTAAAACTGTTACCACCACTCGGCACAGCCACACCGTAATGCTTGAAACACTTTACAATTCTTTGAGATTGTTCTGTGATTATGCACGGACCTGAATAGTCCAGTCTACTTGGCAGCTTATCCAAGCATCAGCAATAACGTTAGAAGTATCAATCACAAATGTATAAAAGATGTGTTCCTCCGACAATCAGGTTTACCAACTGCCGCTGATTATGCTAGCTGATCTTGAGCACTGCATGCATTTTTTGTGCTTTGAGTTCTCATTTATTTCAACAGAAACTGCGTCCTGTAATGATGAAGTGGCAACACAATGTAATAACAACAGCAGCAGACTGAGCTGTGATTCGTGACGGTGAGCTGCATGCACAAACCCTTGTTGTTGAGTGTTTGTGTAGACCTCCGAGTGTTAGCCAGTGCTACCAATTATCAGGAGTTGGCAAACTCGCTCATATTTGACTCACCGAGACTCAAATCAAGTTGTGAGTATGAGTTTGAGTGAGTTCACTTGAATGAATGAATAAACTTCATTTGAAGTCCGGCAGTTTCCTTCGGGCGAGGTGGGGGAAGAGGGGATTAACCATTGTTCCCTCCCACCCTTCGTTGATTATGATGGTGGTGCTTCAGGTGACCGCTCGAATTTCTTGGATTCGGGCGGCATCTTAGGTTTGCTGGATAGGCCAAAGCTGGTTGGCCAACTTGTCGCTGGTGAGTGCCGCCTCCCAGCAGCAGGAAAGCGTGAGACAGCCAATCCGCAGCAGTTTCCACGGCGGCGGCTGGTCCCTGCCCTCGCGCATTGGTGGTAGCAGCAGCAATTCGCCTCAGAGTTTATTCCTGCCTAATATGCATCACAGAGTGAGCGGCGGCAGTGACATTCGGCACTCTTAAAGTATGTGCCGCAGTGTGACCTTTTTCCCACACGCTTTGCACACTTTTGTCGAACACATGCAGGAGATCGCCAGGCTGGAATACGCATTTGTTTAGTAATAATCTCAGAGTTACGACCTGTCTTTTGTTCAAGTTGTTGTGTTGCAGGTGAGTATTTGCGTCTGTTTAGTCTGTAATGTTGTGTATTGTTGTTGAATGTGGTTGAGTTCTCCGCAGCTCGGTGAGTGGGATCGCGAGCCTCGGTGTAGGCCGCCTGGTTGCCTGCAAGAGGGGCGCTGGTGTGAGCCGAAGTCCATAGGAGGAAGACAGTCACATTTTCAGTTTTGAGATACGAGGACGACAACGACAAGGCCATGGCTCCTCGAAGCTCGCCGCCATCCTTGTTGTCATAACTTGATTGAAGCATCAGTGCAACCTGACACGAGATGCGGCCGTGTGCGAAGCCATGGACGGCAGTTTGCGAATTGCTGATCACGACCGCAGCCTTCAGTGCCGCAACCAGTGCCAGAGCAATTGGCGCCTCTGTGTGTCCCGTATGCACCGTGGCGCTCGCAATGCATTTGCCCGCGTGAATCACAACTGCAATCACGTAAGCACTCCTTCTCTCTGGGTATCCCAAGACGTCGCTGTTGCCATTTTGCAGGTCACTCGCTCTTTTGTTGCAGCACCCAACGTGGTGCGTCGGGTGCATGTTCTTGGAGAGCGGCGGGACGATGAGAGGGTCGCGGATCGTGATTGGAACCATCGTCTTCTCCCCGCGTTGTGTGTGGTATGTCATGGCTAGAGACTCAAGGATGCACCCGCCTGTCTTAAACTTGGACAATCGCTCATACTGTGAAATTTCGTGCGCCTCGATCAGTTCGCGCAGGGTGTTGTGCAGGCCCAGCTCAAAGAATATGTCGGTGCTCACGTTGACAGATATGCCGGCCGCTTTCTTGAACGCTTTGCAAATCATGCAATCGACCTTGTTTCGTTCGTATGCCAGCTACTTTAGATAACTGGCTACGAACATTATGCAACTGATCGCATACGCCTGTATGAGGTGTATCACGCAGCTTTTCGCATACCGCTGCGTCTTTTCGTTATGTGGTGCAGGAGTTGAATCGTGTCGTCTAGCAAATGTTTCATCTTCGTACTGTCTCGACGCTGTGATCGCTGGCCTGCAGATGTAGTTCCAGTATTTTTTATGCGCTCTAAGCTAGATATGGGAACGCCGTCCGCCAGTATTACTCTAATTTATGATCTCCCTCTGCCAGGAAGGACGGTTTTGTGGCCCCCATCTCGTGGGTCTATAGAGCGATAGCTGGGACGTGGCCGCCAGACGTTGAACTACTCTGCACGGTCTAATGTACTGTCGCAGAAGTTTCTCACTGATCCATCGTGAACTTATTTACAGCGCAACACCAGAGAAACACAGGACAGGGAAGGCGGTCTCAAGGTGTGTCAAGGAGAATGAAAAAAAAAAAACTGTAAATAAGTTCATGATGGATCGTAACCAACTGGCTTAACTTACCGTCTTACTGTTTTTCACTGAGTCCACGCCGGCGTATTGGTGTCCACACCCAAACTCAGTCAACGGGTAGGAATTCCAGGAAGCTTCGTCGAATGTTGTAACGACCGCTCTCCATCGTCTGCTGATTTTTTATGTGCAGGCGGGCAAGTTGACAAGCTTCTTCAGCGAGGTAAAGGTCGACGGGTATGTCGAGGTTTTTTTCGTCAGAGACATTTCGTAGCATGGTGTCGAGCGTCGTTTCCGGGATCCTTCCGTAGACCAACTTGCATGGCGCCATCTGCATCGTCTCCTGCATGGTCGTGTTGTATGCAAACGTCAGTATGTGAGAATAGCGTCCCATGTCCTGTGTTCGACATCAACATACATGGCCAGTGTCGGCGGTGGTCTTATTTAGACGCTTGGTCGGGCCATTCATTTGTGAGTGGTACGCGGTTGTACTGTGATGGCTTGTCTGGCTGTATCTCAGGATTGCCTGAGTCAGGTCAGCCATAAATGCATAAAGAACCACCAGTCGGTGCCTTCTCTCCGCGACGTGGCCTAGGTTCACGGCTTGACGGGGCGTCCGGTACATGAACAAAGCAGCACCTCCACCAGATGTCATCGGGTCGTGACGTGGACAAAGGAAGTAGTCTGTAATTAAAAGATGAAACTGTTTATTCAGCCGAACTTGTGGCCCATAAACTAAGCATCAGATTACAGCGATGCCCACTGGCACTGATAGCAGCAAACAGAATGTCGGTCGTCAATCAACTGAGAAGCGGCGGAGCATGGCGGCATTTATACACTTGACATCGAATATTCTAGCGTTATCGCTAGCAGTGACATAGGTTTCAGAATAATCTGTAATATTGACGAAGTGGGCGTAATCTTAACAAGACAATCTACTGCAGTCCTGAAGCTTCTTGAACACTGTAAATGCAGTTTGCGCTGCAAATTACTGACAGTGAAATGGTGCTATAACAAAACCTGAGGAGGGAATGTGGCAATAGCTTAACAACTGTCCCACCCTTAGAGGCCGCTGTTCCTAGTTTCCCCGGCGTGTGCTTTGAGACCTAGCCGATCGTCCTGAAACAACATGGACAAAGGTGGAGTATTGACCTTGTGGGGTCTCGATGGGACAAGAGAGCACCACATTCTTGGAGTGGATGGACACAGTAGACACGGTCGGAACAAATCAACCAAACATTTATTTAACTACTTTTAGAATGACGATATTGCTAGCCGAATTATTATACATCAATTGTGATTAACGCGCTAAACAACCTTGCACAGTATTGCACAACACTCAAAAACATAACAAACTCAAGAACACACTCAAGACGGTTTCGCGAACACTTAACTCCCCACAAGGGTCCCCAGTGCGCAACCTGTGGTGCCACGCACCGAGGTGCCACCGCTACAGACAACCGTTCGCGCCAACTGCCAGCCACTAAAGAGACTCGCTCATCTCTCCCGTGCCACCACCCAGGCTTGCCGCCAGGCGTCATTGCTGGCGCTACCGCTTTAACGGTGATGATGATGGTGGTGGTGATAAACACTTGCGAGCACCACGCTACCCACCGCTTGGTAGTTGTGATTCCGAAATGTGATCTACGTGCGAGACACATTCACCATGCGGTGCAAACAACTTTACAAGGGATGTTAGCATTCCCACAACTCAAAAGTGTATAGCATCGAGGAGATGGAAAGCAGGATATGCATCGCTGAAGATACGAGGATAGAAGACTCGCCAAGTACTCTGCAATAGCTCGGAGTCATTCACCATCTTGCGGCCGACGAGCGTCTGGCCAAAATCTAAGCAGGCCCGCCCGTTTGTTGGTACGAGCACTCCCGGTACAAGTGACCTGGCTCATCAGAGTGGTAGCAAAGTGGCCGATGTTTCGAAGCGTGCTACACACAAGGCTTCCGCACATTAAGTCACGGATTTTATAGTGTGGGGCACCCAAGAATTACTGCGGTGTCTGCAGGTTCGTCGGTCAAGGAAAATAGTTGTCACTGGCGCAGAAGTGTGCACAGTTTCTGCTTATGTTAGAAGAGGAGCTTTGGCTGGAGGTGCACTAATGGTAGGACTAGCTGCCGTACCTCTTCATGAACGGCGTCTATCAGAGCAGCCACTTGAGGTTGTGGGAAGCTCTTGCACCTCTTCAGGTAC